GAAGAAAAAGCCACTACACAGAGCACTTCCCAAGTAAATCAAAAGTACCACATCACTTTCTCTGGCTTGATCTTAATTGAATCCACTTTAAACCACTACAGGACTCCAGACAGTGACATACAAGATGTAATAGGTTTCTGGATACTAATTGCATTTATAAATAACCCTGAAAATGTGTTAAGGCTGCTATTAGCAGCTAGGAACTCAACAAACAGAGGAACATAGAAAAAATTATTTAGGAAAGAGACATTTGAATCCCTTCCTTATCATGTCAGATGCCTTAGCATTCTCCCTGTCAAAGGCACATTTTGCACTATCTGTATGAATCACAGAATGACAGAATGACAGAATCACAGAATGTCAGGGGTTGGAAAGAACCTCTGAAGATCATCGAGTCCTGCCAGAGCAGGACCAAAACTAGGGCAGGTCACTCAGAAAGGCATCCAGACAGGTCTGGAAAGTCTCCAGAGAAGGAGACTTCACAACCTGTCTGGGCAGCCTGTCCCAGGGCTCTGTCACTCTCACAGGAAAGAAGTTCTTCCTTATGTTGAGGTGGAACTTCCTGGGCTGGAGTTTGAATCCATTGCCCCTCGTCTTGTCACAGGACACAAATGACAAGAGCTTGTCCCTGCCTTCTTGATGCCCTCATGTATTTATAGACATTAATTAGATCCCCCTTCAGTCTTCTCCTCTCTAGACTGAAAAGCCCCAGGTCTCTCAGCCTTTCCTCATCAGGCAGGTGTTCCAGTCCCTTCATCATCCTTATAGCCTCTGTTGGACTCTCTCAGGTAGATCCCTGTCCCATTGGAACCAGGAAGAAATTAACATATTTTCTTTCAGTTCTCCTCCCAACTGTCTTTGCAAACACTGGACTCTCAAAACACTGCAAACAGACCATCAAGCACTGACCACTAAATGGCTAAGTCAGAGAGGAACTGCCTTAAGCAACACAAGCTTCAACAAATAAATTGTGGAACGTGATCAAAAACAGTGGTTCTGAGTCAAACCACAACTTGAATGTGTGGGTGAAATGTCTCGGAGACAGAGCTGCACACAGGGCAAAGTGTTTCTCATTAAGACATGTGCTTGCATGTCCTACCATGGGAAGTGTTTCAGCTAAGTAAAAAAAAAAATAATCAAGAAGAATCAGGAAGCAATTTTGAAGCTCTGAAAGGACATATCCTCTTTCTGTAGCATCAGCAATGATTTAAAAAAACCCCCAAAAACAACAACAACAAAACTCCACAACAAAATATTTATGAAAGAAAACTATCTGTGAGTTACAACTATGGTTTAAAAACCATTTAACTGGAAGGTGGGAGCAGGAGCAGAGCAGCTTGAGTGTTTCTGCCCCCCATGCTCCCCTTCTAGCTAGCTGGAAAGGGCCCTTCCAACACGCGTCAAGGTGGCACTTGGTGACAGCACAGCCCTGCTGGTGCTCTGCAGGCCCTGGCAGCCTTGCTTTCCTCTCCTCAAGCTAAAAAATTACTTTGGTAATTTGGTAGTTACTTTGCCCAGAGACAAAGACTCTTTAACAAAATGACTGGTTTGTGCCTCTTGCTCCACTTGAGCATTTTGCTCAATTTTATTGTGTCCTTGTACGCTTGTAAAGACCAGGACACACGACAGAGAGATCACTTTACTGCAATAACCATCTGCTGCCCTGCAGGGTCTGGTGATTGTCAGCTATGTGTAAGCACAGGAACTGAGAGATCCACACTGGGAACCACCAGCTGCCCTTGCACCACCCAGTGTCACCCAGTTAAACCTTGGTGCAGCTGCTGCACAGTCCACAGACCAAAGAGCTGCTCAAATGGCCAACAGGGCATGGCCAAAGCAGCACAGTAGCCACCTCAGTGACCCACAGAGCTGGGTTGTGGAGGACAAGTCTGAGGTCTGTCAGGCCCAGCTCTCACCCTGAGCTGCTCTGGAGCCCAACAGGCCAAGGTGGCACCCACACCAAGCAGCCTGGGCTGGCCAGCCTGCTACTGAGCCATGGGCATTGTCAACCCCAGCAACCACCTTTGTGCTGCTGCTCCCCCCAGCTGAAATGGGCAGCACATTTCCACAGGACTAGCGGAATGAAGAACCAACACAGAAAGGAAAGTTTGCTGTTAAAACTCATCCTAAACAAAATCTCCCCCAGGGCTGGCCAACCTGCAGAGCTGATGGGGACAGTGTGATGAGGAGCAGGGAAAGGCAATACATCTCCACAGGAACCCAAGGCAGAACATGGGCCTGTGTGGCACAGATGGCTTTGTGCCCCATGCTGGGCTCTCTGCAGTGATTTGCTGTGTTGGGACCTCAGTGTCCCAGGACAGCTTGCTGTGGCCAGCAGCACCTTCACCAGGGAGGAGGGCACAAAGCATCCCTCCAAAGAGGGGCTCTCCCATTACCTGCCTTACCTGCCTAGACTTGATAAGAGCATCATTTCCCACCATTTCCCTGACAACATGGCCTGGAGCCAGTGGCAACAGGCACACAGTCCTGATCATGACAGAAATTTTTAGAATGAGGTTTTATCTCCTCAGTTGAGGCTGGCACCCTGAAGCTTGCAGAGGAGATCATTCAGGGAGCCCATGCCCTGCTTTTCACAACCAGTTCTACTGCCATCTCTCTTGAGAGTTCAACATCTCTAGGCAGATCATCTTCCTTTCACAAGCAATTACTGAGCCTTTCACCTATGCCCTCCTATTCAGTCAATGTATTTATTAATTTCATCAGAATATCACTGACTGAGGGGTGGCTTCTTCCCCAGTCCCCATGTTGCCCACACAGACAGCTGCAGGCACTGACGAGCAAGGTGGAGATGGGAGACAGACTCACTGATGTCACACCTTGCATCTGCTATCCTTGTATCAACAGTTGTGAGATGGGGGGAGACTCAGAGGTCCTGCAGAAAGGCTGCTGTAAATGTGTAAACTGCCTGAAAGAGCTGAAATGGATTATGGAAAAAAGCTTGGAAAGACTGGTGGTAATGTGGTCTTGAACTGAGCACAATTATTTGTTGTTTCCAGGTTTGATTTTGTAGAGGGCTTTTTAGCGAGCAATGGATTCCATCAAATGGAAGGAAATACCCCTGTTGGCATTACCTAGATTGCTTTGGCAAACTAAAAATGACAGTCCAATATTTTACAGAATAAAGTTTCATTCAATTCAGATAAAGTCATTATCACAAGAAGCCCTGACTTGCTTCATAGAATCATAGAATCACAGAAAGGTTTGGGTTGGAAGGGACCCTAAAGATCATCTACATCCAACTCCCTGCATGGGAAGGGACACCTCCCACCACACCAGGTTGCTCAAGGCCCATCCAGGCTGCACTCCCTAAGTCACTGGTGGAGTGCAGCAGTTCTGGTGCTTGTCTGCCAGGGCTCCATGCTTCACACTGAAGAGCTGGTGCTCATCTACACTGACGACTAGAGAGCAAAGGAGATCCTGCACCCACCAACCTGCACTACAGCTACAGGGAGCATCCAAAACACACATACATATATATATATAGGTATGTAGATATAAATACACATGTATGCCCACCCTTGATTTGCCTTGCAAGCAGAGAAAATGGAAATTGTTCCTGAGAGTCAGACACGACCACACTGGCATTATGTTGCGACAGAGTGTGTTAACATATCATGTTTCTTCCACTTTTTTAAAAGAAAGCACATTATGGCCATTTAAAAAGCCTAGTGTAATTATGAAATGAAACACAGTAATTTCATTTATCAGGAGCTTTTTTCAATCAAGCTGCAACACATGCTGCCAAAGCCTAATTGTTTATACAAGAGCCAAAACTGATATGACACATTCCCACTAAACTGCCACACACTGTGTAGTAATTCATGCAGAGCTGAGTTATATGACTGCATTGGTGACTTTGATTTCAGAAACCACAACGTCTACAAATACACTGGGTACAGAGCCCCAGCTGAAGGGAGGAAAAATGAGCAGCCTGAGCCCTACTCCATCCCCGAGTGGCAGCTTCAACCCACAGCAGACAGCAAAAGCTACCTGCCAAGCAAGGAGCAGAATCTTTGAAGACCATTTCTTTAACCTGTTGTTTCCACTCTTCTGCACAGGGCAAGCAAGCAGTGAACACGTTACACATGGAATGGGCAGTAGTCTAAATAGGGCCAAGGCAGATTTATTGTAATTCTCACAATGGTTGATGACTTTTCTTATTTTATACCAAACTTCAAGCATAGAACTTAGACTACACCAGCAACTTTACTCCCAGAGTTAGATACACCTACCTGCCAGCATATTTAATTACCTGCCAAAATGTGAGGCTAAATTCAACATAAACATTACTTCCATTATGCACCATAACACAGGATGAAAAAGGAATTCACAGGAACAGCCAAAATAGGCAACAAGTGCCAGTGCAATTATTTCCTTTGAAGAGCAGATGCAGAGTCAGGGCCAAATCTCAAGAGAGGAGGAAAATCCAGAACAACTGACCCACTTGAGCTCAGACAAGAGAAAATTATCTGTTTCCTGGGAGCTGCAGACACAGTGATACCTCTCCCCATGCCCTCTGCAATCACAGGAGGTGGTTGGCTGTGGTGATCAACCACTCCTTGCTAGGGGTAAGGAAAAACAGGACTAAACTGAGATGAGATCCCTTCCCTAGAAACAGCAGCCTTGTCAAGACAAGCCTTTGAAGGACATGTCATGACTATGTTACTTGATTTTAAAATAATTGGCTGTTTTCACCCCCACTAGGAATGAACAGAGAACTCTTGCAGACTCTGCACACACACCTCTGCTCAGCATGGAGAGGAGGGTCCCTGTCCTGCAACAAAGAGTACATTCCAAATGTTGATGCAGAAAGACATGATTGTCTCCCAGAGCTGCTTGGTACTTCACTTGGTACTTCATGCAGGCATGAAGTCATTCTATGTCATACACTTTAATCTCTGGCAGCCAAATAAGCTGTGGAAGAGACAATTGACTAATAAATTGAGGAAGGTTGAACCAGGAGGTGTTGTGCTTCAGCAACAATCAACAGTCCTTTTGATTCCTCAGCAGCCCTGTCACCACACTGCAACTTTAAAAAATTCCATCTCTCTCAAAGTAAAAAAAACTCCTTTTAGAAAACAAAACAAAACATAAAAACCCCACCAAAACCAAACAACTCACTGATAAAAAATTGCTTCTATGGTTTCCCTTGGTAACTTATTCCATCTGTACCCCTTTGACCACATAGCATCTCTTGGAATTCTTGGCTGTGGCTTTTAACTTCCAGTCTTTCCCAGGTTTAGATAATATCCTCCCCTCTGAGGGACCTTCTCATCCCACTTTAACAGGTCCTTTCAAATCGCAAAGTTGCACTTTTCCTGGGTCATGCCCACCCAAAACCCAGCAAGGGCACAGCAGGTGTGAGAAGCACAGCACCAGACTCTCTTTGTCCAGCCTGTTCTCAACTCTTAGACCTCTCCTGCAGCTATTTCTGCTTCCTCCACAGGTTCTGTGGCTTTGTATAACCAAGGCAGAGGTAGAGAAAATGGGGAGGAAAAAGATGCTGTTGGGCTACCCCAGCACACGCTGAATGTGGCATCTACCTGGCTTTACTACTTAAAGCAGACTGAGCTGCTCTGCATGTATAAAACGGTGCCACCTGTCTCTTGCTCCCATGCAACATCTGCTCTATCTGTCACCAGCACGATCAATGGTGCTTCAACCAGCCTGCAGAACCAAGACACCCTGCCTGCCTGGTGAAAGTGGTTTTCAAATGAAGGCAGGGTGGAGATAGGAATCCCAGACAAGAATAGCCTCACTGCACGTTTCACATCATTACCCACATTACCACCCAGCCTGCTATACTCATCTTTCAGATGAGATTCCTTTGTTTGCACAAATATTTAGAGGTTAGAAACTTGTGCCAGCTATTTACCAATGGTCCACAGCTTCCAAAAGTACCAAGGCTGTGGTCCCTGTGGAGCAGTGGTGAGTGCTCAGTTAAATACCTCTGGGTTTCTACAGCCAGGGAACAAATAATTCAGGAAATTATTTGCAGCAGCAGCAAAGATCTACTTCATCAGCAGACTACTGGGGCATGAGACACAGCAGCTCATGCCTGCAGTGCCATTCTGTGCATGCAAGCCTTAAACTCAGCTGGCACTCCCAAAGTCCCTTGCTGGGGATTTGCTCCTAAGATTTGAGTTAAGCAAGACATTTCCTATGTGAAGAGCCCCACTAGCTTCTTTCAAATCAACACACAGACTTCTACTACCTAATTCCTCTGTCAGTTGTTTAATATCAGATTTGGCCTGTGAAGAGTGGAGTTAGTGAACCCAGACATTTGTTCTGAGATGGTCCAAACACAGCCCTTGCTCCATTCTTGAACATTTGAGTTGGGGAACCATAGTTTCCAAATTTCCATTACTTTCCACTGCTCATTGTCTGGATTACTAACAGACCTAGTGCTGTACCTTACTGACCATATTCCAAAATATCCAGTATAGAGTGGTCCCAAATGAAGCACCACCAAGCCCAGGAAAGTGCTTCCACTTTGGGTACAGAAGTGCCCATGAAAGAGTTTGGTTTTTACCAAGCCATGTGTTTTGGTGGGGATAAGTATGACCAGGAGTGACTGGGACAGTTGATGGTTTCCTATTTTCTTCTTAGAAACATTCAATATTCAGGGAACTGTGCAGCACCTCACAGAGCCTTTTGGAAGGAATGCTGGTCATTTAGATTACTTGATTACATTATTATGACACTAAAAAACATTATTTATGCCCTCCAGCTGCATTCACTGAGCTCTCCTTTTCGAATGACTCATCTATTATAGTATTACCATTAAAATGGGTGGTTTTTACAGATGTTACATGCCTCTGCTTCAATTATACCACCAAAATCTTTCCCATACACTTTCCCACCTCTTCATCCAGATCACAGGATAAAGGAAAAATTTGCTTAGTGGAAAAAAAGCAATGACTAAGCTGTAAAATTCATTCTCACTTTCACTCACAAAACCACAAAAGAGCAAATTTTGTTTACAGGTAAGTGGAAGAAAACATCCCTTGCAGCATACCTGTTGGTGTTATACTCTAA